ACAGTTATTTTTTAAAGTTTTATATAAAAAAACGCGACATAACATAACGGGGGAGTGTTTTCTAAACTCATTTGTAGCGTATATGAATTGATCAACAAAAATTTCTAGAATTGATTTCCAAATTTGGAAATCTCCCTGACTGTAATAGTAATAGTACATTTGGTGTAGAATGGTCTCTTTATGTATTAAAAAAATTATTTTCGCTTGCAAATCTTTTTTATTTTCCTTTTTTGTCGTGTGATTAACTCTTTAAATGTGACAAGTCATTTTTTTCAAAGAGAAACTGTTTATTATATTTATCTGTATTGGACGGCCAATCTTGAAATTAACATTAATATGTAACCATTACGCATCCTTCAAATTTTTTAATTAATGCCAATAGCTAAAACGTTGATATGATTCAAATTTACAATTCATTACTATCCAGAATATTTTAAATATCCTTTATTACAGAGCATGATTTAAATCTTAGTCTGAAATTCACATTGAAAATTAAAACACAAAATTAATGTACCATTAACACTTTATTATCAAAAGGGTGATGATGTACATCCTCCATACTCGAGTCTCGTTTTTATTAAAATCATGATTCAAAGGATAAGTTCTGATTAAAAATTCATGACTGAGCGAGCTATTTTGTACCAATCAACAATTGATTGTGTGTGTTTTTCAAGAATATAAATTCATTATTCAAATGTACAAGTGGTATTTGATAACTCAATGAAATTTGTTGAGTATAATAATTTTCCAATCAAAAAGAACATTTCCAGTTTTAAGTCAAACATTCTTTAGATGGTTCACCTTCAAATTTTTCTTTTTTCTTGTAAAAGAAATGATGACCTATAATCATTACCGGTTCCATGCCAATTCTTATAATTAGAATAATTGTCTACTTGAATTATGAATGGTAGAAATAGCAATAATTTAATCTTTGAAATCAAACTCATATACCCAAAAATTTGATCCTAGTTTTAAAGATAAAGATATTAATACTTTAGTTGAAGTTGCTTCTATGTGTTCTGATTCACAAAAATGTCTGGTAGTTGACGTAAAGTAAAAACTCTGCCACTTATTTCAGTTAAAATGTTCATGCCTAAATGAATAGGTTCATAGTGAATGTGAAACTTTTTTTACATTGCAAAATGAATTTTATATATGCGAAAATTTATATGTAATAAATTAATATTCAGTCAAACCTGGATTATAATAAATTCAGATTTTAACTTGTAAAAACATATAAAATCCAATAAGGCATGATAAAAAAAATTTTTTTCTTAGCGTTCATTTTTCTGTCTGGAATTTTAGTGTGGAAGTCAGTAGCATAGATGCTTAATTGAAATGGGTCCATCTGAATTATTAAAAAGACAAAGTACATTTCTTAAAAACAAAATACAATACTCGAAGCAGGATGAAAGGTAATAATAGTTAATAGTGACCATTAAATAGCAATATTATTGCGAATTAGGAGATATTAATAACAATAGTATAGTAGTAGTGTAATAATACTGGCCATCCAAGAAGTTTTTCATCAATTGGTATTTATTTACAAAGAAAAAGAAATAGACGGTAAAGTTAGTAAGAATAACCGATTTTTAGCTAATTCGTAAAAGTATGTTATTTTTCTAGTAATTATATGATGATAAATTTATCAATGTTCTTATCAGGCTAAAAATTGTTTGGCTAAGGTTTTTCTACCGGCCGACATCACTTGCAAATAAATAAAACAATAGGACTAAATAAGATAATAAGAGTAAATAAAGTATATGAATGGAACATATAAAATAAAATTTAACGATAAATTTTTTTATTATCTATAATCAAAAGTTGGTTAATAGCTGATGTCCGTCTTACAAGGCAGATTGATGCAGATATATAGCCTGACATTTAATTTGTAAATGATATTTTATTACTGTAGATAGATTTCAGGATATTTGTGTTTTATTGAAATAAAAAAATTATTATATCCAACTATGGTGATGGTGGAGTTCAAAAATACCAAAAAATTTCAAAAATAAATTTTGAATTTAAATTTCGTATAACAGATTTTTTTTAATACAGCTGAAAGAAAAGAATTAATAATAACCGATCAGATTTCATTACCTATCAAGCAGATTAATTTCTTGCAAAACAAATTTTCAAATTACTGTCCGAGTTGAACACGGAAAAATTATCGATTTAAAAAAGGCCAATTATTCTTATCTCGGATGTTAAATAGATCTAATGATATTTCAAAAAAAATAAAACTGTTGCAGCTATTAGAATTGGTAAACCTAAAAAATTTTCAGGCAGTGATTATAAAAGCAGTAAGAAAAGACCCAAAACAACTGTTGATGAATTAACCAAATATCTTAAAGAATTTAAGCATTGTAATAAGTGAAAAGACCACCAGGTGAACTTTACATGCCAAAAATATTTATGGTAGGAAGGCTGTAAAGAAGCCTTTAATATCGGAAACAAATAGGAAAAAAAATGCCATTCATGTGAGAAAAAATCAGAGATAAGTAAATAAAGGAACTTTATAGGAGCTTTTGAACTTTGTAAAATGGCCATATTCTGTACTATTATAGATTGGTTAAAATTTTTTAGGTATAAGAAAGAAGTAGTAAGCAAACCACCAAGACCGCCTAGAAGACTACCAAGAAGAACTAGACTGCACCAAATTCACCTAAAAAAATCTCGACCACGAATTCCAGAAATAAAAATCAAGCCACCCTTGGCTGTTGATTAAAATCTTGTCTTGCACTGTGAGGTTGGAAAGGGATTTTGATATTTTTTGACAAATCTTTTTGAAATGTCTAAAGCACCCATATTCAATTATATAATGTAATAAATACTTTACATTTCTTTTTGAAATATTCCAAAACTCAAACCAAATTAAAATCTTTATTTATAAAAAAAAAATCAAATCAAAATTCTGAAAATAAATAGCTGAAAGAAAGAAAAAATGGAAACTTATTAATTCATTACGTCTTTGCACTCATCAAGCCATTTATAAACCTGATTAATTATATTGTCCACCTCTTGTAATTTATTTTCTAACCATTCGACATCTTCTTGCTTGGATTCCTTTACATCCCAAGTTGGTGACAATGAATTCAATGCTTGCTTAATATTTTCATAATGGGTAAGCCTAAATAAAATATTTAATGAGTTTAAATGATAGGAAGACACCGTTAAAGAAGCAAGAATTAAAATAATGACGACAAACTCAAGTTCTTCCAACAGGTCAACACATTCTTCAGCAATATCCATATCAGGAGAATTATTAATTCTTTTATGTAACTTGACTTTGGTTCCATCCATTTTGCACTGCATCTCATTTAGCTTCATAATTGAATCTACAATTGAACCTCTTCCTTCATTCTCTTTAAAAATATCCTGGTGCCAAATATTATCAAAAACAACAGCAATGGATGGTGATATTTGTTGAAGAGCAGAATTGAATTCATCAATAGAAGAGTATGTAAGTTTTACAATACCATGGCTCTCATATTTGGAAAATTTTGAGATCCCACCCCAATTATAATGGACAATAACTAGAGAGTCAAGGCCATTTTCTTTTAAGTCTTCATTCAAAATTTTCATAAGGTGAAAAAGTGACATTGCTATAGAATCATTTAAATAAAAAAGTGTTATATATTTGTGTTATATATATCATTTTAAAAAATATTTGAATATTAACTTTTCATATAATTTCCAGCAAGATATTTATTGGCCTCAGGAGAAACGATTTTATTATTTAAGTGATTGAAAAGATCAAAAATCTTTTGTGTAAATGTGAATTCATTCAGGCTGATAAGGGCCAAGAGCCGTATCAGTCGAAGGATAATCTTCAAATCACCCTCCTGTTCCAGAAGTTGTTTAACTTGATTAAAAGAATCATTGATTGCAGCTAGATAATCCTCTTTGTAATAAGAGTTTTTTTGATTAAGATTAAAAAAGAGTGGCTTCACAGTGAATGCTTTAAAATAATTAACAAGATATGCTAGAGGAAGACAAAAATCACAATATTCAGGACTAGCCATGAAAACCAAAGACATTTTAAACTCCATAAGAGATACAAGATCACCTAAAGAATCAGAGTTATCCAGATGGACCATTTTGGTATTGTCTAAAGCATATTGAATAAACACACCTGCATGTAAAATTGCATCAATAACATAGTTTTTATAGAGATGCTCAAAGAGTAATGAAAGTCGTTTTCCAACTGGAATTACTTCATAATATTTGTACCCATGGTACTCCTCAAAACCAATGAGTGATTCATCAGGTTGTGAAAGCTCTTTTATTTTTGACATTTCCAAATCAAACATATCAATGCCCTGCTTGTCCTTTAGCTGTTGTAGAATAAATATGCATTTTAGCATGACTGCAAAGTTGTCAACCTTGAGCTCTTTAGTTATCCATATATTTTGAACATAACTGATAAAACCAGAATATGTGTGTATAAGAAGTTTTGAAAGCATCATCCGAGACATTTCAGGGCAGCTTATTTGTGGTGATAGATAACGAATACGAATTTCAACTAGTTTTTCAGTCCACCACCCTTGCATCCCAGGAACTTTTTCACTTTGCTCCTTGCTAAGAAGCCCCTTGCAATGGTACATTATATCTATCTGTTGAATAATAGTATGGTTAAGGCTTACAAGTTCCAAGTGTTGTTTCAGAATTAATGGTGTTGGGATTGCATGATGATTTTCACAACTTGAGTTTTGACAGTGACAGATATGGGAATATATATTTGGAATTTGTCTACTTTTCTTGTCAACATCACAGATGAGCTTAAAGATATATGAGGCAAGGAATTGCTTCATTTTCATGTGCAAACTATTTATATTATAAACATGCCCATCATCTGTGATTTTATGTTGAATATTTTTGTCCCATATATTAAGGAATGGGTTGCTTAAAAAAACTTTCCATTCATGTGAATCACTTTTTACAAAGAAAATCTCCTTTAAATACTTATGAATTTTCTTAACATTGTCAGCATTTTGATGTGGTGCTATAAAAAGAAAAGTTAGTTCACATAACCTTAACAGACATTGAAGCCATTCATGCCAGTGCTCTACTGATTGAGGAATGATTTGCAGACATATATTTACTGCACAAAATTCAGTAACAGGCTCTTGATTATTTCTAAAAAATTGTATACACTCATTAGCACTATTGAGGTCCTTATTTAAATAAGCTGAGTATAATTGAATTTCTTTCATCAAGCTTTTCCATTGCTCAGATTTTTCTAATAATTGTGATTTGAATTTCTTGACAAAATTTTTTGCCATGTAAAAGAGGCTATTTACTACTTCTTTGGTATTTGAAAATGTCAATATATTTTTTATTATATTAACCCTGCATAGATGTAAGATGCACTTTAACACTTCGAGGTCTTCTGAATTGGCCTCTTTCAAGATGATGATGTTATCAATGGCCTCTTCAAACTTGCCACATGAGCATAGTCCTCTGGCAACAGATCGATAATGAGTGCTAATATGATTCTCATCAATTTTTTGCCTGTATCTTGTTAAAATAATTTAAACAAATGTCAGATTATAAAATTTACAACCCCATAAATTTATATATAATTATATGTGAAGTTTACATAAAAAATTTCCAAGTGGCACATCACATTTTTCAATAAACCATGATTTGGTAATATATATATGCAACTTAAATACTTTAGAAATGTGCTTACCTTTGCACCAAAGTATTTACTTCTTTATAAAATTTACCATTTTTATAAGCAATAAATGCTTTGTTATACTTCTCCAACTTTAGATAAATAGTGCCTGCTTTATCCCATTTTTTGGCTTTAAAATAACAATCAGCAGCATGCTCAAGCATACCATACTCTACACAAACATCACCAGCTTTTTCATGCATACTGATCTCCTAGATATTTTGTAGAGTTTTAAGTATCAAGTTTTAAATTAGTATTCAGACAATGTGATCAATTATTTAAAGTTACTATTAGTGCAATCCATTTCTCTAGAAAAACAGGTTTTACCTGATAGCATGAAGCTGCTTCAATTGGCATTGAACATTTTATGAAGGCCTCAGCAGCACGAACAAAATTGGTATCCACAGCAGCATCATCATCATCATATATAGAATCTCTGGCAACCTGCTGAAGAAGATATGCTTCTGCTAACTCTTCATTCTCTTTATTTTTACTTTTTTTGAAGCAAAAAACAGCCTGAAAGTGGTTTAATTTCATTTAGTTAATACATTTCATCACATGATAGAATATTTCAAATGCAGTTTTTACCTGGTCATATTGCTGTCTTTCAAAAAAATTATTTCCTTGCTGATTCCATTCATCTGGTCCGCTTTTCTTTTTCTCAGCCAAAGTAGACAAAGCAATTTTTGCTTGTTTAGAGTGATGTTGATATGGGCTACCACTTCCTTCCTCATCCAAATTAGATAAAGTATCATTTTCATTTTCATTCACAATTATATTGATCAATCCATGGTGCTCCCAATACATGCAAATTGGCTCCCTTGATACAGTGTTTTCATCATATATCCAAATTCTCTGACGTGCTCTTGTTACTGCAACATAAAGATTTTTAAGCTCTGAGGAAAGGATGTAATGCTTTTCATGATAAAAGTCTTGAATTCCTTTTGAATGGTTGCCAAAAGCAGAGAAAATTACTCGCCACTGAATATGTGCACATAATTATTTAATAAGTGAATAATATGGAGTGGTTTAAAAAAGTGCATAATACTTTACCTTTGAATGTGCAAATGAATCAGCAAAAAAATTATACAAGAACACATCATTAAACTCCATGCCCTTGGACTCAAACACAGTCAATATCAATCCAAATTCTTCACCAATTTTTTCCTTCAAATGCTCTTTAGTTTTGTCATCACGTACAATAATGACCTGACTAGCACCAAATTCAATATTACTTGACTCATTCTCATCCTCATGGAAAAAGAATGCTTTAGAATCAAACCCTTCAAAAACAATTGGTCGAGGACCACCAACTTCACCATGCTCACGTGGCAGCTTGTCAATTGACTCAGGAAAAAAGTGAGAGATGAGATCAATTACTGATGAAGCAAGTCTAAGGATCCCATTGTGAGAACGATAATTAATATTCATTTCAAACTGCTTTGGCATTATGGCACTAGGTTGATTGTAAATAAATTTGGATCGATCAAGTTCCCATTTATATACTAAAGCCTTCAGATCTATATTAAGATTAAACCATTGTTGTTATAAATGACTATTGTATGGGGTAAAATTTTTATAATCATCCTTAGTTGCATACCTTGAAATCGGAAAGATGATCCCCTTGAAATACATTGTGCTATATCTCCAGCAAAAAAAATGTTGTCAGCATGTTCAAAGAGCTTTAAAATAAGTGCTAAATCCACAATGCTATTGTCCTGGCACTCATCAATATATAATTCATGAATTTGCAAACCACCAAGTGGTTCCTTCTTGGCATGACGTAAGATCTTAATAGTCCTAAAAAAAAGGTTTGAAAACTTGTCAAAAAATGAAAAAATTACATATCATCTGACTGATACTTACAGATCTATTGAGTCATAGTCAAAATTCAAGGTCTTCTTCTTTTCATATTCTAGAAATAAATCATAAATTTCATCTCGATTATAGCAAAATGTTGGGAATTTTTTAGTGCTGATGACTTGATAATCTTCCCTTGATAGGTATTCACCCTCAGAATCAAAGCCCTTAGGAAATTTTGAAAAAATCATTTAAATAGAGCACTGTCATAATTAACAATTAATTAAATTATAATAAATTTGAAAAAAATAAAAATAATGAGATGCGGGGATTTTACATATTGTTTTATACCTTAATGATAGAAAATTCAGAGAAGACCAGCCCACAATCAAAGTTCTTTCTATAATAATCATTGAAATGACACCAATATTTTTTTGCAAAGAGTCTGTAGTCTACAAAATGTTTCCATGATGCATTGTCATCTGTATCAAAATTTGGTTTTTTGGTTGGATTTGGTAGATTAATGTCATAAGTTTTCAGAAGCATATCAATCAATGTTTTGTAGGTAATTATCAATGGGAAATGGCCTTTTGTCAGTTGACGAAATGAGTTTGGAGTATAATCCACAATATTTCCCTTTCCCCGTTTTGTCACATTTTTCACATCAATATTACTACAACCTTTTCTATTTACGCTCTCATAAAATTGAGCCATAGACATTTTTTCATTAGTAAGTTTTGCTGACCCTTGCAGTTTGTTGAAATATTCTTTTACTCTACAGCACAGGTTTTCACTCAATGTAATGAATATTTGCCTTTTGTGAGAATTAGCATTGTTGTCATTTGAAGATGGCATCTCATTGAGTTGACTAGTCAGATATGAACCAAGAAGTCTGAACATAATACATGTGGTTTTTCCAGTTCCTGGGTATCAAATAGAACAAATAATGTTAACTTTTTCCCAAATATAAGAACACACCTATACCAACAATACTAACCAGAACGACCAATGACAATTGCTGATGAAGGATGGTTAATAATTTCATACTCAAGCTTAGATACCTGAAAGGTAAAATCGGTACCACCCCTGACAAGTGACCTAAATAAGTTCTGGAAGCAAAAATTATATATTAATATGTAACTCCAGTTAAAATGCGTTCTGTTTAAATCTTTAATTGTCTATATTCATACTCTACCTTTGATAATGGTACAAATTTATTTGTGGCAAGCATTTCATGAACCTTTAACAAATTTTCATCATCTGTTTGGTTCCACCTCAATCTGCTCTGGGTAGACCTTGTTGCTTCTTCATCTCCAAAGGATGGTAAAATGATATTACCTTTGCCAATCTGTTGTTGCAATGTGCACCGGTATTTATGTTCAGGAGTGTAGACTTGATGAAGTAATGAAACATTTTCTAATATTTCGTTGATTTGCTCTTGGTTTACAGTGACTGTCCAAATCGCCACATGTTGCATGAGTGAATTTTTACGAATAGAGAATCCATAATCGACCTGCCAGAGAATCTTCAAGCCACCATAATCTGGAAGTTCCACCTCATAAATAGGTACAATGCAAGATTGTACAGTATGTTGCAATCCATACTTATTCCATTTTCCGCTTGACATTTGCATTAGTTTCTCCATAACTGCTTTGATTGCAAGGGGCTCTAATTTTCTCATATCTGCAATTGCATCATTACTGAGCAAAACATCCCACGGACCAAGCTCATCATCATTTGATTCAAATGGTAGGCGAAAAAGTCTTTCATTCATTATTTCAATTTTTTTTCTTCCTCGCTGCTAATCTTATGTTTTTTCGAGGATTTATGATTACTGTTGTTCTTTTTATACACTTTTAATAAGAAAATAAAATGAAATGAAATTTTTATTTACAAGTAAAACTAGTAAGAGGTATAATATATATTACGCTACTCATTAAATTTCCGCTTATGATTATCCTGTAATCATGAATTGCTGGAAAAAAACGACAAAGAATTTTTTGTAGAGTAATATGTAAGAGAAAATATTTTGAATAATATATTATCAAAAAAAAAAAAAAACAGAATGGCAATTTTTTTCGATGGCTCGTGGGAAAAACAATAATAAAAAGATTGCGATAATGTTTGGAAGGAATCGGTAATCGTGTCATTGTTGCTAAATAAAGAATGATTTTCAAAGAAGGGTTCTACACCTGAAGACCTTTTAAAGTTTAATCTATTTTGAAACTATAGTGTAATGACAAAATTGCAAAATGCTAATAATGAATTATTTTAAAATAAATTTTGAAATTAATTAAAAATTTTTTCGCTTGAAAATTTTTCTTATAATAATTATTTTCCTCTTTTTGTCGTCAGTGATTAACTCTTTAAAGGTGACAAGTCATTTTTTTCAAAGAGAGAGACTGTTTATTATATTTATCTGTATTGGACGGCCAATCTTGAAATTAACATTAATATGTATACGCATTCTTCAAATTTTTAATTAATGCCAATAGCTAAAACGTTGATATGATTCAAATTTACAATTATTACTATCCAGAATATTTTAAATATCCATTATTACAGAGCATGATTTGAATCTTAGTCTGAAATTCACATTGAAAATTAAAACACAAAATTAATGTACCATTAACACTTTATTATCAAAAGGGTGATGATGTACATCCTGCAGCTTTGAGAAATGTTCTCCATACTCGAGTCTCGTTTTTATTAAAATCATGATTCAAAGGATAAGTTCTGATTAAAAATTCATGACTGAGCGAGCTATTTTGTACCAATCAACAATTGATTGTGTGTGTTTTTCAAGAATATAAATTCATTATTCAAATGTACAAGTGGTATTTGATAACTCAATGAAATTTGTTGAGCATAATAATTTTCCAATCAAAAAAGAACATTTCCAGTTTTAAGCCAAACATTCTTTAGATGGTTCACCTTCAAATTTTTCTTTTTTCTTGTTAAAGAAATAATGACCTATAATCATTACCAGTTCCATGCCAATTCTTATAATAAGAATAATTGTCTACTTGAATTATGAATGGTAGAAATAGCAATATTTTAATCTTTGAAACCAAACTCATATACCCGGAGAATTTGATCCTAGTTTTAAAGATAAAGATATTAATACTTTAGTTGAAGTTGCTTCTATGTGTTCTGATTCACAAACATATCTGATAGTTGACGTAAAGTAAAAACTCTGCCATTTATCTAAGTTAAAATGTTCATGCCTAAATGAATAGGTTCATAGTGAATGTGAAACTTTTTTATATTGCAAAATGAATTTTATATATGCGAAAATTTATATTAATGAATAGAGCATATAAAAATAAAATTTAACAATATATTTTTTTATTATCTATAATCAAAAGTTGGTTAATAGCTGATGTCCCGTCCTACAAGGCAGACAGATACAGATATATGACATTTAATTTGTAAATGATATTTTATCACTGTGGGTAGATAAATTTCAGGATATTTGTGTTTTATGAAATTATTATATCCAACTATGGTGAAGTTGTTTATTAAACAATCCGTTGAAGAATGATAGTGGAGTTCAAAAATACTATATATAACAAAAAATTTCAAAAATAAGTTTTATGACTAAAAATTGATTGTTCAAATTTCGCATAACAGATTTTTTTTAATACTTGTTTATTTTCAATTAAAAATTAAAAATAAGTCAAATTTTGAAAACAAATAGCTGAAAGAAAAGAATTTAATAACCGTTCAGATTAATTTCTTGCAAAACAAATTTTCAAATTACTGTCCGAGTTGAACACGGAAAAATTATCGATTTAAAAAAGGCCAACTATTCTTAATGATATTTTCAAAAAAAATAAAACCGTTGCAGCTATTAGAATTGGTAAACCTAAAAAATTTTCAGGCCGTGATTATAAAAGCAGTAAGAAAAGACCCAAAACAACTGTTGATGAATTAACCAAATATCTTAAAGAATTAAATATTGTGATAAGTGAAAAGACCACCAGGCGAACTTTACATGCCAAAAATATTTATGGTAGGAAGGCTGTAAAGAAGCCTTTAATATCCGAAACAAATAGGAAAAAAAATGCCGTTCATGTAAGAAAAAATCAGAGACAAGCAAGGTCTTGTAAATAAATCAAGATTGAAAATAAGTAAATAAAGGAACTTTATAGGAGCTTTTGAACTTTGTAAAATGGCCATATTCATAATTATTCTGTACCATTACAGATTGGTCAAAATTTTCTAGGTATATACAAGAAAGAGGTATTAAGCAAACCACCAAGACCGTCTAGAAGACTACCAAGGAGAACTAGACTGCACTAAATTCGCCCAAAAAAATCTCGACCACGAATTCCGGAAGTACGTGTAAAAATCAAGCCATCCTTGACTGTTGATTAAAAAGCTTGTTTTGCACTACAAGGTTGGAAAGGGATTTTGATATTCTTTTGACAAATCCTTTTGAAATGGTGTTCAAATTCTAAAGCTCCCATATTCTATTATATAACGGAATGAAATGTTTAATGTAATAAATACTTTACATTTCTTTTTGAAATATTCCAAAACTCAAAACAAATTAAAATCTTTATTTATAAAAAAAAAATCAAATCAAAATTCTGAAAATAAATAGCTGAAAGAAAGAAAAAATGGAAACTTATTAATTCATTACGTCTTTGCACTCATCAAGCCATTTATAAACCTGATTAATTATATTGTCCACCTCTTGTAATTTATTTTCTAACCATTCGACATCTTCTTGTTTGGATTCCTTTACATCCCAAGTTGGTGACAATGAATTCAATGTTTGTTTAACATTTTCATAATGGATAAACCTAAAATAAAATATTTAATGAGTTTAAATGGTAAAAAAAAACCATTAAAGAAGCAAGCACTAAAATAGTGACGACAAACTTAAGTTCTTCCAACAGGTCAACACATTCTTCAACTATATCCATATCAAGAGAATTATTAATTATTTTATGCAACTTGACTTTGGTTTCATCCATTTTGTACTGCATTTCATTTAGCTTCATAATTGAATCCGCAATTGAACCTCTTCCTTCATTCTCTTTTGAAATATACTGGTGCCAAATATTATCAAAAACAACAGCAATAGGTGGTGATATGATTTGTTGAAAAGCAGAATCAAATTCCTCAATAGAAGAGTATGTAAGTTTTACAATGCCATGGCTCTCATATTTGGAAAATTTTGAAATTCCACCCCAATTATAATGGACAATAACTAGAGAGTCAAAGCCATTTTCTTCTAAGTCTTCATTCAAAACTTTCATAAGGTGAAAAAGTGACATTGCTATAGAATTATTTAAATATTAAAAAAAGTGTTATATATTTGTGTTATATATGGGGCATACTGCAACAAAACCAGACAAAGTGAACATTGGTATTACCAAGAATTTCAGGGATCAAGATTTAGTCATTAGTAATGTGATCATAATTAATAGTTTTATAATATCCCATTTGTTATCTTTAGTGATATATAGAACTATCCCTATATAAAAATAGTTAATATGAAACTCATTTACATCAGATCTACTATGGAACCCAAGAATTATAGTACCATCAGAAGTATTTTGAAGAAAGAACAAGGTGAAAAAATTGCTCCTTACATTTTTAAATTAGCAGATACCAAATCTTTGCAAACATATTTAGACAAAGAAAGGATTACTTATGAAATTTATCAAGAAGAAAGAAAAATAATAAATGTTAGAAAAAGAAAGCAGAGTGAAAGTGCATCATTCCCTAACAAAACGCAGAAATCTTTGAAAGAAGGAAATAAAATGCAATGGATCTGATTATTGCAGATCTATTTTTTTACTGACAAAGAAAATTCTCCTTTATGCAAATGTAATTAACAATCATCATATTGCATTGCTTATAGTCATTGAAATTCGTGAATTACTTGGAGAGGGAAAAGGCATTGTTGCTTCCACAATAAAAAACTTTTACCAACAAAAAACAAACCCTAAGAAAAGAACAGTAGATGCAATTCAGGAGTGGGTTGAAAAAGAAAAGAAGAAGAGATAGAGAGTGAGGTTGACAAAGATAATGAAAACAGTGAAAATATAAATATTAGTAATAATATTATTATCAATAATAATAGCAGTAAATGTTAGATTTTTGTCAGGGTGCCCAAAGAATAGGTAACACTTACAAATGGCTTTATGTCTGAGTATTTTCCTCCCATGCAAGCACTCTTTAACTTATATTTTTATAAATTATTTATATATTTTTATATTATTAGTTAAATTAAAATAAAAATAATTTTCTTTTGTTATTTGATTTTATTTATATTTAGTAATTTGTGGATATTATGAAAGTATTGAATTGAATTTCATGATTCCTGGACATACTAAATTCAAATGTGATGGTAATTTTGGGATGATTAAAAAACTCTATAGAATAACTAGGATAGATTGTCTGGATCATGTGGTTGAGGTGATAAAAAAGTCTAGTCCAGCAGGATTGAATAAAGCTCAATGTTATGAAGATGGAAAAGGTTTTCAATACTTGGATCTTAAAGCTATTTTGGGAATTTATTTCAAGAAATTACCAAGTATCCAGAAATATCATCATTTTCTTTTTGAAGCATCTAATCTTGGTATGGTCAAAGTTCAAGAAGTTGCTAATGGACCTTTTGCTGAATTCAATTTATTGAAAACCAAGAAAACAGATGTTTTTGAAAAGATTAAAACTTTATCTATTTTAGTGTTAACACCACCTCCTTTGGATTACAAAAGACAAGAATATCTTTACTGGAATATTCACCCATTTGTGAAAGATGAATACAAAGATATTACTTGTCCAAGACCATTCTATACTGGCAACAAATAAAGTATTTAGAACAAAAACACCTTCATTACTTTAACACACCTGTTAATTTCCTTTACTGTCATTAAGTTTAATAAGTTTGATTTTTTGACAAATATTGTTAACTTTAAAGTAAAAAAGTACTAAAATAATTTATATACTTAATATGCCCTCATAAAAAGGATCTTAGTATATTAGTATATTAGTATATTAAAAGAACAAATAAATAAAAAAAGAAAATCATGGTAAATATCCTAAAAATTCAAGAAGAAAATATCAAAAAATTTTTGGAAGAAAATGAAAATTTAAAGAAGCAATTAGCAGGTAAAAAACAAGAATCACAATTTAAACAATGAACAATGATGGAATTAGACAACGAATAGCCACTATTTTAAAAGAATCTCATTACACTGATAATCCAGAAGTAGATGTAGTTGATGCAGTTATGAAAGGTCATTGCGACCAAGAAAATTGAGCTTGGTTCTGTAAGGTGTTCCCTACTGAACCATCTTGAAAACAAGCAATTTTAACTGTTTATCAATATTATCCTTATTACAATCAATCTAGTGTTTATTGAAATGTAAGAAATAAAGCAAAAAGAGATATCTTTATTAACCTTATCAAATTAAACTCTGAAGAAAGCAAAGAGTTATTTAGAAAATGAGTAAGGGAAGGCAAAATAGAAGACAATCTAACTCTTAAGGGAATCTTAGAAAAAGGTTATGAAGGATGAGATTCAATAAGTGTGAGCTGTTTATCATTATTATGACCTCAGAAATCTTTCTCAGGATGAAATGATTAGTGGTTGAAATGAATTGACTGTGAATGCCAACAAGAAAGCTACTAAGGTAAATGAATTGGAAGAAGAAGTTGAAGCATTGAAGGTAGAGTTGGAAAAAAGTGATGACAGAATAGAAGAATTGGAAGAAAGAGTAGATATTTGAGGTTG